ATATCCGATAATCTCCAATCAAACTCTAAATATACCCATAAATTTGGACAACATTTCCCATGATTGTTATTTCAAGTATCATAATAATCGGGCATCCTTTTACGAACCCAACAATTACAGCAATTCAAGAGCAAATGCAAAAGCGGCTCTTTTAACAAATCAAAAAAGTCCTCTCGCAATAGAAGTGCAAGCAGGAACTATAATATTCATGTCTGGCTTTGTGAAACATTGTAGCATTGGCAACGCCAGCTCGTGCTTTAGGCGTGTCTATATGCCACAATATTCAGCAAGGATAGTTTATGATTCTAGACTATCATTGGATCAAAATAATACGGGTGTGACCGAATCTGAAAAATCAAATGGTAAACAATTATTGGCTTTGGGTGTTCCTTGTTTAAATTAGAAAAAAGATTCTTTATAACAACTATAAAAACAATATACTAAAACGATAGTTCAGTAAATTCGACAAATAAATTACACTATCCATGTCAAACAGAAATATCAAATAAAACGTTCCATTTTTGATTTGATTAGTTTGTCCCGATGACGATAATAAAAAGCTTATTTTTCGAATTCGTATATCCAACTTTTTCCTATTCAGTTGCATCCACAATTCCATGGGTACTGATGCCAAAATGACATTCAGACTCTGGTAGGCAAGGCGAATCGTATATTTTGGCAACACGAAGTTCACCACGACCTTTGCGAAGCGATATCCTAATTATTTTAACAAGCAATAACTATCGTTAACATCTACGGATGACAAAGAATGTTCGTTAAAAAGGATCAATTAATTACCGAGTTGTAGATGCGTGAGCTATGATATTTCCACCGATAGGCTTTGGAGCACTGCTGGCAAAAGGATTGGAGTCAGGAGATGCTACAACTTGGTTAGTAATGACAACCGCCACGCCAAACTGCAAATTTACAACAATGATAATGTTAATAGTAATATTACTTGGTCTGATAAGTTATGAAAATCAGGAAAAGTCTTCTATCTCACCACATCAGCAATTCGCATAAGACTCTTCAAGAATTGCCCCATATGATTCTGACGTGCAGAAAGTTCGCCACGACCATTAAAATCAGTTCGATAAAGAGCAGTAGCACTATCCACGATAAGTATTGCGAATCTATAAGATAAAAAAAACTCATCAAAAAATTCGCATACAATTAAACCATACATGATAAACTATTATGCAATTTATTGAAATGAACCTGGATTCAGTCATCAAGGCAGCAGCCTGAATTATCAAGTCCATTTGATGTTCGACATTATAAGCGCGTGCGGTGGCCACATTATCGAGTACGTCTTCACCTTGCAGACCGTATCTTTCAGAAATCTCTATCAGACGAGATGGTCGGAATGTACCTTCAGTATCAATATACATTGCCTTGCCGCAACCACCCTGCATTTCTAATGGAAGCTATTTTTTTACAGAAAATAATAAATTTTTTATTTAAATAAAAAAATGAACCATGATTAATTATTTTTACCTGGGCGGTTACAGAAAGTGTGTGGCAGATCTGACTCTTCCCCGTTCGAAATTCACCGAAAATCTCAGTGACAGCGCCAGTCTCAATCCCGCCTGATTAATCAGTTTTATTATTTTAATCAAGGTAATTATTTTCCGAATTTTATAATGATACTTACCACCAAGCATCTTGTCCAACGCCGCAGAACCTGTTGTGATAAAGATTCGATCTTGCATTTTCGCATGTATTTCTGAAGCTGTAGTAAATCCCATGGGCACCAATTTCTTCGCTGAAACGTTTATTAATAAATTAAAAAAAACATAGATAATAACTCTGAAAAATAAAAACGATTATGTTTAGAAGAATAATACCATTTTCAATAATCTTGTCCGCAGTTTTTTCAGAGATTCCTTTAATACCTAAAATAGCTTTTTTCGGAGTGAACACAACTGATTCAACAGTCATTAATCCAGCATCCTTGAGTTTTTTTATTTCCGACTCAGAAACTCCAAGCTCCTGTATTTGTTATTATAGTTATTGTACCTTAAAAACAAAGAAACACAAAAACAATATGTTAAAGTCATATTATACCAAAAGTTGTTCTAGTTTAACGGGACCATCACACATATCAGATTCTTGATATTCGACATCGTTAACGTCAGACATTATTATTATTGGTTTTTTATAAGTATTCCCAAAAACAAGATCAAGAATCAGGTAGAAGTAGTAGAGTTTAAAAGAATAGTGAAGAGAATTAGATTAAATGTTCTTGTAATCAAAAATCAAAGAATTTGATCTAGAACAAATACGCGTTCTGTGTCATTTTTTTGATTTTACGCGTCTTCAAAAGGTAAGGCACGTGAGTCGTTAGAGGTCGGGTAGTTTCACGTGACATAAATTCGATACGGTTCGTATTATGTGAAAAGTAATTATTGGCTGAACATATTATCGGATAATAATAATTAAGAAATATAAAGATAATTATAGCAAACAATTATATATATGTAATTATTTAAATTTAATATTTTTTATTATTAAAAACTAGAGTCAATAATTTATCTAATATGTAATAAATATCTTAGTTGTTTTTATATCATCTTTATTTTCAATTTTTCAATACTTGTTTCATATTCTTTTCATAAGTTTACCAATTTAAAGTCTTTGTATCTCTGCTTTTTTTTCTATTTGAGTCTGAATTGACTCAGATAGCTTAATTATTTCATGATGTTCATATACTTCAAAATCAATCTTTTCAAATATCTATTAGAATTTGTTTTAAATCTCAACTATTAATAGCTTATTAAAATTGAAAATATATTAATAAAGAGTATGTTAATATGAAAGTAAATAATGATGAAAAAATATATAATTATATTAGAATATTTGTAAATCTGATAATGACTTTTCCTTTATTATTCTTGTATTCATAATTATAACTTTACTTATAATTAACTTTTAAATGAGATAAATACTTATAATTAACTTTTAAATGAGATAGAAAAACTTAATATCTATTCAAAAATCTTATTATCAAGATCAATTATTTTTGACAAAAGTTAAGAGTTATTTTTTCTGAATTAATTTATTTCTTATTCATCAAAAAATTTTTAAGAGCACAGTTTTATACAGATTTTTAGATCCAAAATCTACGTAAAACTTCAAATCTGATAACAATTGATAAAGAAAAAAAAATTAAAAAATCTATATAGATCTGTAATAAAATATAGATTTGTGCAGATTTTTTAATTTTTTTTTAAAATTCTGCGTAAAACTTCATAATATCAATTTCAAGTAATAGTAATAATTTTAAGTAACTATAAAATTCATAGATTAAATAATAGTAAAGATATTTATTTTATTGTAAACTATATATATATAATAATAAAATATAAATTTAAAGAAAATTA